TCATTATGCTACGGGATTTTGAGACTACTCCTTACGTCGTGGAAGGTTGTAGTAAGGTCACTGTTTCCGAACACAGTGTCCTCCACCTTGTTTCATGCTGTCAATATAACAATACGCGTGAACTATAACAAGGTTTATCTAATACTAGTTATGAACTAGTATTGGGTTATATAATACCATGTACATGTATGTACAATCATTGTAATGACACCTTGTTGGGACTTTAAAATCAGTAAAAATTGATACAGTTATTCACCTCATGAGGCTGATTCCTGAACACAACTATGTGTACATATTGTTGTTGTTTTAGAAGTTTTTTTAACGTCGCACCACAAACAGGTGGTTCGCCTCCTTTTATACATGTACATGCGGACGACAGAGGGAATGAGAGAGAGAGGGTGGTGGACAGAAATATGGAGAGGGGAAGGGTAGAAATTAAATAAGTGAGTCAACCTCAGGGCTACACTCAAGCAAAACCGAATGGGAATATACTACATGTATATACAAAATAACATCATACCATTGCGAAACACGTTTCCTATTCTTCAGTCCGCTATACCACAGAAACACACTAGCCGAAAAGTATGTAAACGGAGCCGTGATGCGCTTTTAGTAGGACACAGAACTGAAGGTGGCTGGGCTCGGAACGGAGATCAGGCGGGAGCTGGTTCTCAGGACTGCGCCGATGAACTGTATGGTCGCTCGACCCGCAGGACCGGGCCAAAATGGTGCTTGAAGAAGGTAACCCCCTACTCAGGAAGAAGCTGGTGAAGAGGGAGCTAGCTCGGAAGAAAGGACAACGATGGACAAATACGAGGAGCTTGATTGACGTTAAACATGTCCTCTCTCAGTCCTTGGTGGTGAAGTCGAGCTGTAGAACGATCGGGCTCGTGCGCGACCACAATGGCAGTGTACGTGACTGTGGAGTGTCCATGTATCCGTATGGAAGTAAGGGGCGAAGCAAATGAGTCCCCAAACCATCGTTTATCACGTCAATGTTGACCTTCAATGACACTATAATTATAATGGATGAGTGCAGTAGGCAGTATGCACTGTCATAAAATTCTCACCTTCATGTAGTAGTAACAGTGTGACAATCCAGTTATCTCACTATCTTGCCAGCCGACACAACTAACAATTCGCTCAGGAACTCCTCCGTCCTCTGCTTTAGGCTTACGTGCATTTGTGTACTCTGCCCTTGTGCGGCTCGGGTCGTTTTGGTTTCAGTGCTACATGTATCTTTGCTCGTCCTCGTCATAAACCGCTTTGTCGATACAGTTGTCTCACAGGACAGCCTCAGCTAGCAAGAACTTGACAATGTTCACCAACATCCAAAACGTCAGCCTCCAGGTCCAATCCATAGTTGAGTGAACGATCATGGATTGAAAGATTACCTTTGGCCATATTTTTACTGAAACTGAGAGTTGAATGTCCTTGTTGTTCTTCTCTAGCTCTGTAGAGTGTCATGTTCATGTACGTATGTCATTGTTGCTGCTACATGTACATGTACAGTGTATGTACAGTATTAGATAAACCTTGTAAAGTGTATTGTTGAACACAATGACGTCATGTTGTTCTCACTCACACGCCACATTTGCAACAGCAACCCCACAGTGCAGGGTCAGCTGCGGACAGCCACACTGCAAGACACAAAGAAAATAATAACAGTAAGCCTAAAACATGCTTCGGAAATATTCAAAGTTCGAGAGAACATTGCGTCTCATTTCTTTCGAATACTCAGCCAACAAGAAGCGTACACTTGGTTGACAGCATGTTACAAGGCGGAGACCACTCCATTATTCGCTTCAGTGTGGGGAGATTTTTTAGAAAAAAGGCACGCGTTTCGGTGCAGGCCAATACCACACAGAGACCCACAACAGTCGGTACTTTTCAGGACACAGCAGAGGTTGAGAATTTGTCTATTCAGCATCATGGCCATTGACGTACATGTGCGACGTATTACGTACGTAATAACTGCATGCATGATTTCAGTTACCAGCACTGTAGCTAGCCGTGCATGCACTGTTATCAGTTGTCTGAAGATTGTCATCGATCATCTGCCATGAAACAATTAGTAACAAGAAAGCAGATGCGTGCTGCAGCTCTGTGCCTCGTGTACGGTCTAGTCAAATAGTGCTACATTATTCAGGTGGATTTTGTAGAAAAAAGGCACGCGTTTCGGTGCACAGGGTGAAGTCCAGTACCACACAGGGACGCACAACAGTCAGTACTTGTCAGGACACAGCAGCGGTTGAGAGTTTGTCTATTTAGCATAACGCCATTGACGCCAGGCAGGCACAGTGGGTTGGTCAAAGACCATGATTGAGATACGAGAGGTACCTGGTTCAAGTCCTGCCTGGGAGCGGTTTTTCCAGCGTGCTGTTACCCACAGTCAACTGGGAACTTGTGGCCAGGCACAAGGGGTACATGGATGCAGCTAATGGGGTCGTTTTCGGTACTTGTGCCAGTGGTTGTGAGACTTGCCCACTCACCCCCACCGCTAGGCGCTGCATCTGCCGCTAGGGTTTATCGGGTGTTAGCGGCCGTCGTGAGTTCCCTTCGGGAACGGATACGATAATTTACTTTTTATTGACGTACAATACATGTGCGACTTACATGTATGACGTACAATACCAGCATGCCTGATAGGGAACGAGTATTGTTCTTCACAGGCTGTTGAGTGTGGGATCAAAGACCAGGTCGAGGATCAAACGTTATTAGGGAGCTGGGTGCATGTGCCTTTGTGCAAGTAGCGGCCACTTCACAGCTCGCTAGCTACACAACTCCATAGCGAGATTGAAACACGAAAGGGAAATCCTTTAGGGAGAATTTAAAAATTGTAAAGTAGAAGAAAAGGAACTTAGAAGGTTGCGGAACAATTGCGGAACAATCAACTAGAAGAAAAGGATTAACAAACAAGTATGAAACTGAGACTGGGTGAGAGATGATGTCCAGCCGATCAGAACTCTGTACCCTCTTACTCGCGTATGCTATGGGTGACCCAGTGCCCGTAAACCAACCAACACCATCTCTGTTCAGGCACAGTGATACAGTACTTTAGAAGTACGCCTAACGTGACAAATGCTGCTTGAACAGTTTCTTTGGAGACAAAAAGATCTAAAGCATTCAGTAGAAGCACCAACTTCAGGCTCTTCAACAACAATGCAATGCTCTTTTAGGGCGCGCTCACACTGCGACCAAAACCAGCGTCCATGCGGCCAAGTTGCATGGCAACGGCATGAACTTGACCAAAACGTCGCGGCCACGTTTCAAATCGTGACCGCGACCTCCGGAGGGGGGTGCCACGACTTGGCGGCAACATGATCGTAGACGTGAAGCGTATTTGTGTACAACCTGGCCTGAAGTATGTTCAATTTCTCAAATTCCGGTGTGTTGACTCATGAAACTCGGCGGTTGTCGATGTCATCCTCGACATTTGCACTTTTTAAACTTTTGTATTTATGGTCCTGCACGCACGCACCGCCATAATATAATGCATTCTTTGCCCTTTTTAGACGATGTCGATTTTGTTTTTGTAGTTGTCAGTTGATCGGGTCAGTGACCAGTTTCTACAGTGTACTCGTTGAATACGATGGTAGCTTGGTCTGGTTTTTCGGTTTGGGAAATCATCTTTCTCTACTTTTCTGCGATGATGGAATGCCATACCTCAAGATATTTCAGTTACATATCATCAGAAAATACAGTTCTCATCTCGGTAACAGACAAAAGAAACCACTACCGGAATTTCCACTCCATGCACTGGCACTTGCTCTGACCACGAGGTCAGGAAAGCGAAAGCGCTTGGATGTCAGCGGCAGCTAGCCCCTCAAGAGTCCAAACCTACATGATTGTATGAATTATTTTTCGTCGACTTCAAGAATACAAGCCACGAGGCACTTCCTCCAACATTCAACATGCGAAAATTTACATCCAAAACGGGCCACAACTTTATTAGGAAACGCACAAACTCGCAAAGTTTGTATGACAACTTCACGTCTACGCGTGTACGAGGCCTAGTGTGAGCACGACTGCCACGTTTCTGCGTTTTGCTGACGCATGGACGCGTGCTCATGGTCGCAGTGTGAGCGCGCCCTAAGCACTTCCAGTATCACCAGTGCAAGTGGAGCGCGCAGCATGACAAAAAGACACACTCAAGCACTCTCGCTGGGACACGTTCCTCTCTACTACTCTAGCTCTGTGCTTAGCGTTTCTCACCAGGAAAGAGAAGTGCTGCATTTCAAGCAAGGAGTAGTACCGGTATTGTACACTACTACATGTACTAGTACATCGCCTGGTTTCAAGCACCAATGCCAATGGCTATGATATTGTTAGAATTGGTGGAAATGTGCGTGGGTTTGCAATGACGTGAACTATCCCTTTCTGCGTGCCCGTGGGGAGCGTGTCAGGGAAACAGAACAATAAAATGAGTTCAAAAAAGGCAGGCGTCAGAGTTGACTCTGCTGGGCAAATTATTATTTCGTTCGAGCTTAATCACAACACGTTTCCCGCGGCGTTGCATAGCCTTCGGACCGGTTTCTTCGACCCCATACCGCGATAGGTGAGAACCTTTTAATATCCATAGTCTAGATCTCACAATGATCCTCCGCTACTGGCGCTAGTGCTAGTACCTGAGTACAGTACGCGTCTAAAACTAAAAGGTCAAGATTCGAGTCAAGGTTTGCCGGCGTTGGTCTAGCTGACTGACTCACGAGACTGAGTGAGAGCAGCAGAAAGTGACTTGTCGAGTCGAGTGCTAGTGTGGACGGTTCGCTGTCACTTTCACGACTTTGTGTCACTGTCTTGGCCACGTGGTGAACACAGCCTTCGCCATAGCGCGGGCCGGGACATGATGGACAGGTCGAGCCGCACTCGATCACGCAGCGTAGTCCCGCAGGACACAGCAGCTGATGTTCCAGCACCCACTTGACAGCTCCGTGCATGATAATAAAACCTGTGCTCAGTGTAGAGGAGAGGATCAGAGCTGATTATTAGTACATGAAGCCAGTATCTCCGTCTGTTCACAACTTTCCCCATTTTTCAGTAGCCAAGCCTCTCAGCCGTTAGCCAAGATGAATGCTTCACAATGCGGACCCTTTATCTATCCAGATGTCGTTCAGCGTCCTCCTCTGGATACCAGCAACAACGTTCTATCGGACTTGCCAAATGTAAGTGAAGCTCCCCAAATTGTAAGATGTAAATATTATTTGTTGGAATACTGAGAGTACACTGTACAACACATACATGGCACTACCTGATCAGCATGCGGCACAGGACGTGTTTGATAGTTCGCGTGTGACTGCGAGGGTAATAGGCTATTCATACTACGTTACAATATGCGTCACGTTTTGGAATACGACGTACTGGCAGACGTCGTTTTCATGCAGGTGCATTCACACAGGCACGTACACGCTGCTCGTATAGCTGTGTGTACAGCTTCTTTTGGACACAAACTGCCAGGAACGACAGAACGAAACTCGGTACAGGGGTCCAGATACGTCGTCTACGTTTTCGTATCAGGGGTACGATTTTCCCGCCACGTTCCATGTTGTCATGGCTATCCGGACGAAAACGTCACGTACGCCACGTTTTGGGCGTAGTGTGAATGGCCTATAAGTACACGGTTTTCTCGTTTTCTCGTTATAAGTTGCATGCAAGAGAGACGATGCGACAGAAAGCAAAGCCCTTTGTAGTTTTCTCTCTCGCACTGGTAATGGTCTGCTGTTGGAGTGGAAATGCTAAGACATAATCCTTGTTTCGCTCTTCTGTGTAGTGTGAAGAGGTCAACGAACATGTAGAGCTCACTTTGATGAAGTAGGCAAGGCTGTGAGCGCTGTGGCTCAAAGCGATAGGCCCAAAATCTTATGAGATATTTCGAGTGCTAGTACGGAGGATTAGCAAGACGAAATTCGCGTTCGCGTTCGCTCTCCAAGGAAAGTCGAACTCAGTGACGGAATTCGCGTTATGAGAAGGATTAGCAAACAGACTTCGCACATGCATGACGTTGTGTGCAGACATTTTAGCGTAGTAAATTTATGACTGTCCTGACACGAATCCGCGAATTCGTGTTCCGACTACTTTTCCGCAAGAAAAATGCGAGCGTTCGCTAACTGAAAAATGTTTGCGAATGCGAACGCGAATTTCGTCTTGCTAATCCTCCGTATTGTTTGTTGCGAGCGCTTTGTCTTCGATGAGTCCTGCCTCTTTCCTGGCAGCTGCCCTCCTATAGGATCAACCACGAAGTGACTGTACTCATCTGCAGCCGATCAATGTTATATTGCACAAGAAGATATCGTTTTCGCCAAGCCAGTGCCCCGCCAAAGACCATCGCCGCGTCACACCGTCGGAACGAGTTCATGATGAGAAACATCATTCGCGCGAGCGTGATGAAGAACTATTTCGAAAGACAACATCGTCTTTACCCCCGGGACGACAACTATGTGCACGTACTGCAAGGGGAGAATGTCACCAGCGACATCAACGAAGACGACGGCAGTATTTCGGAAACCTGGAGTCAGCGGAGGTCGTCAAGCTCCTCCGCGATCCGCGACCCGGTACATGTACAGTATTGGTGACATGTCGACACGAGCGTGCGGAAACACAGCATACACTGTAGTAATGTTGCGAGAGTTTGCGGAAGGAGTCCAAGTCGGGAAATCCATCAGCTCCAAAAGCTACCTGTAGGTGGGCGATGAGACTCCAGCTTCAGACTACAACAGTCAGGATTTGTAAATAGTTGAACTTTGTGAAGCAGCAGATCGAGAAGTTAGCTGAAATGGTGGCTGTTGCAGTATGTCGGCGCTATGTAGCTTGCATTTTTTACGGAGAGTCGATCGCCACGCGAATGTTTCTCTCCTCACCGAGAGCTATCTGGCCTCCAAACTCCGTCAGGGTCTGCCTAGGCTAAGGTACCGAAGGTCCTTTGACTAGCTGCTGGCAGGACTCCATCAAATCCTTTAGCTTCAGCTCGGCGAGCAAAAGTCTCTCTCTCCGCCATGAGCTGACACACACAAACTGAATACAAAACGATGCACTTCACACGTCCTGGCTTGCACGCGTGCCCCCTTTCACGAACCCAGACAATCTTTTCGGGATTGGTCTATTACTCTTACGCACGCACGCACATATACCTAGACATACTCTCACACACACACTCAGGCATATACAGACACGTACACTCACACCAGCGTTCAGGTTGACTCACATCTTCAAAGGAGCTAACTTGGTTCAAGAGACGATATTGAGAGCACAAGGCAAGAGAGACGGAAGCCGAAGCTTCCGCCTAAAGGCGGAAGGCAAGAGAGAGAGAGAGAGAGAGAGCTGGAAAGGCGATTGCCATAATATCTAACTACGGGCAGGAGGCTGATCCCCCCACAAATAATGAACCATGGTACACCCGCATACCGCAGTGTACCAAACCTTAGCAATAATGTGTATAAACTGTATCACAAAGAGCGGGAGTCAGCCAGCTTAGGAAATAACAAGGCATACCAAATAAGGAAGGCCCCAGGCCTTGTGTGAAGATAATAAAATAAAGACGATTATGAACCCGTTTACGGGAGATAGATAAATAATTAGACATCTAAATAAGGCAGACTTGTCACGTAGAGGCCTAAAAGGCAACGTGTCAATAGCATGGATACCACACATTAGGCCCGACCGGCCATGCAATACCTGTTTTAAGAAAGAGGTTACTATCCCCCATGCATAGAAGCTAACCAAGTACAGTGTAGATCCAGTCAAAGTTCAAGCTACATTGTATGTCTCCTTTGGCAAATGACTGTTGAGTTTCAATGTAAGGCCTAGGGCGCAGTATACTTGTGTACCCTTGGGATACTTTGTGGTTTAGGCGGAGAGAGAATTTGGTATGGTAGTATAGCACATTTTCTTCTTGTAACTTAATAGCACTGAGTAGTGAGCACTACTAAAAGGAGAATCAAAGCAAATGATATGCTTGACTATTATTGTGAGCTTGATAGTTATAGATAGCTTGTGGAGCTGTTTAGGGGCTTCGACTCGGCCTCCCGTAGCTACATTTATACTATAAATGTAAGCTACATTTATACTATAAATGTAGCTACGGGAGGCCGAGTCGAAGCCCCTAAACAGCTCCACAAGCTATAGTGTCTGCCAGCCTGCTCGTGTCTCAGGCACTTTGGACGTACACCAGAAAGTGATATAGGCTGACAGCACTAGCCAGAGGAAAACAAGCTCTTGGGCTTCAAACTCTTCACTTCATAATTCCACACAGAAATGAGAAAGAATGATGTTTTTTTATAGGCCAGGGGGAGAGAGCAGCTGGGAGTGAGTGCACAAGATTACTAGGAAGACAACTGTTGGAAGATCTAAGGAAAGGCCATTTGAATGTGTGTGTGAGCTAGGGCTGAACAATAACATGGATTCGGGGATGAAAGCTGTTGGATGTAGAGACCGGCGGATTCTGCTCGAAAAGGTGGCAGATTCTGCTCGAAAAGCCGTGAAATTGGCAGAACTATACAAACCTTATGGCGGGCAATTCCTCGAAATCTGCTCAATTTTTTTATCCACATACCAAACATGCATGAAACTTACCAGAAAAAGTACCGAATTCTGCCAATTTTTCTGCCGGCAGAATCCGCCGGACCCTAGTTGGATGCCTAGAAACAGGAAGGAATCTTGCAAGGGATCAAGAGGGTCAGTCATGGGGAACGGACTATACAGGAATCAATGTAATGTACACGTATTACTACAGCATGAATGGGTGCTATTGTCATGCTGTGCTGGGCATGCACTCAGGGCTGTCTGATCGTGGTTGCACGGGAGAAGCACTTAGATAGAATGTACCTGTGAACTACAATGTATCTATTTGTAGTCTGATTTGGCTGTGTGATTACTGGCAGTCAGGGATGCTACACATTGTACATTTCGATACCTATAATGAGTTCGATCTTGGGTTTTTATAAGGTTCCGCCAATTAAAATTTTTAAATTTCACGGTTCGCGTGAGACTCGGCTGGAAGCCGGGTTTTCCGCATCCGTAGGAACGCCACCACCCTTCAAGGATCAAGGCGCAGATGCAGCTCCTAAAGCAGTGGGAGGTGAGTAGATCAGCTCACCAGCAAGTGGTCAAAGACCGAAAATCCCATTCACTGCATCCATGTTTTCCTCGTGCCAGGCCACGAGTTCCCAATTAACTGTGGGTCGCAGCACGGCTGGAAAAAAGTCCTTCCGCTTCCAAGCAGGACTTGAACCTGGTACCCTCTGTTTCTCAATCATGGTCTTAGACCATCCCACTATGCCTGCCAGCATCCAGCCGTGGACAAATGGGCGAACCTGTAGGATACGAACAAGCCATATGGCCCTCCGTGCCCTGCACTAACCTATAATTATGCATATACATGTAGCTTAAATCAAATTTTTCTCCCCACGTAGGGAAAAGAAATTTCACGTTTTAATTCTGGGGAGCACTAGAAAACAAAGAATAGAAGCAAGCACCGCAATTGCAAAAGTAATGCGTTTGGTATGCCATCAGAGTGTATTGACAAAATTGCTGGTACAGGGAATATTTGAATTCAGCGAGACAGGTCATAGAAGTGAAATATGGTGCAGGAAATTGTTCCAAAGCTTTGAACGTTATTCCAACCATTTCTACTCGTTCTGTTGATTTACTCCTCCTCAGGCGGCTCAGGTTCATGAATACCTGCCACCCTTGACTGTACCTCGCAGTGCCACTCCACAGCGACAGCATGCGGAGGGCCCAAGACCTTCATTCGCACAACTGAGCGCCCGTCTTCGCTCCCAGACAGCGGCTTGGGATATGAGTGCGATGGGAAACACCACAGTGGCCAACACGTCTTTGGACAGGAGGGCACTGGGAAACGCCGCATCCTCGTCAGCGTCTTTGGACCCTAGTGCAGTGGTAAACACCGCACCCAGATCAGCGTCCTTGGACAGGAGTGCAGTGGAAAACACTACAGTGCCCAACATGTTTTTGGATATGAGCGCACTGCGACACATCGCACCCGGGTCAGCGTCTTCGGACACGAGTGCACTGGGAAACACCGCACTTGGGTCAGCGGACAGGAGGGCAATGGGAAACAGCACAGTGCCCAACATGTCTTTGGATCCGAGTGCACTGCGAAACATCGCACCCGGGTCAGCGTCTTTGGACAGGAGTGCACTGGTAAACACTAACAACGACACCGGCTGGTCACCCCTATTAACAAATTGTGAGAACCCAATTTCAAGGCCTACAGAATTGGACGCGAACATGAACATCCCTAAACAGTCAACAGGCAGTTCAGCGCCTCTTCAATCCTGCAATGGCCCGTATGGGGACTTTCAGACACCGCCAGTGCCAGCATCATCGCTAGGATCATCACATCTTTCCCTGTCGAGTACTGATCAGGTTTCCCCGGTTTCTCAATTTGGTCTGTTTGGCTCTTCCAACTGGGCTAATGTAATGCAGGTAAGGTCAGTACCTGATTATTGACGACGTGTGCTCTACTTAAAAAACGCACCACTATAGACTTCATAACTACCTACGTTGCTTTGTGTGTGTGTATGTGTGTGTGTGCGTGTGTGTGTGTGTGTGTGTGTGTGTGTGTGTGTGTGTGTGTGCGTGTGTGTTGACATGCCAGCACAGTCAATTGTTTTCATAGCGTCACTATTCACTACATGAGTACTACATGTACATGTACCGTATTTCCCCGATTAGAGGTCGCACTCAATTGTGAGTCCCCCCCCCCCCCCATTTCCAGGTTCATGTCCTTTTCTTTGATTTTCCGCGCCGAATTTCTGACGCTGCATCCATGTCCCATGCGCGTCAACAGTACTTCACACTTTCCCGCGTTACCACCTCAGCTATGCCAGTTTTGTATGTGGAAACCTCACATAATAGCAGTTTAGTCTATATTTTAACCATTCAACATCTGCCTTCACTTATGAGCTATGTATTAGCGAATCAGCTGTCTGGAGGAGTTTATCAATATCGTCTAAGGAAGTGTCCTCGCAATGGTGATGGTTGTGTGCAGGAAGGTCTAGTCGGCTAAAGAGCGCAGTGTAACGGTGGAGGTGACTCAACATGTCGTTATCGTTTTGATTATATTCACTTCAGTAGTAAGTCATGCTTGATTATACGTCGCACCCCTTTGTTGGCCCTGAAATGAAGTGTAAAAAGGTGCGACTTATATTCGGGGAAATAGGGTATATGCATTTTTGGGAAGGCGACATTGGCAATAGAAACGGATGGTAATGATGTGCAGTTCTTCTCACAATGATAATGGTATAAAGTGCTCGCTAATTTATACTTCTTCCCATGCTTATGTATATATCTATGCAGGAGACCGCCCTACGCCAAGACGAACAAAAGGTGAAGAAAAACCAAGAGAGAATAGAGAGACGCCGCAACCGAAATAAGGTGGCAGCCGCGCGTAGCAGAGAGAAGGCGAAGATGAAGGCTGCAGAGGACTCGCAGAAAATCCAGGAACAGGCAGAGACAATAGAGAAACTTAGGAAGATAGTAGCCAGCCAGAAGATCGTAATTGACCACTATCCGACTTGTGCAGCATGTGGTAACATTCCTTCATAATGTGCTGTCATTCTTTCACAGTCATTGGACTCGGCAGCATCCACGGATAGTGCATGTACTCTTAAACAAGAACTTATTATTATTATTTATTTAATTTTTACGAAGTAGTGGTTGCGAGCTCCGGTGTGGGGAGCAAACCCTTTCTTATTTATTTTTTAATTACTATTTCCCTCAAACCAGTGAATATTATTATTATTTATATTATTATTATTTGAAACAAAAGTGATGGAGAGTTACTCTCAAAAAAAGTATTACTTCCCTCAAACCAGTTAATATTATTATTATTATTATCATTTGGAACAAAAGTGATGGAGAGTTATTCTCAACTCGTAACTATAATTATTTCCTTTTCCTTTCTACATTATTATTATTGTCACTAGTTATTACGTACGAAAGAAAGTGCGGATGCAGATTTTGAAGCTCTGCATGAATGTTTGTGACAGGCCTGTCTACACTGGTCTAAGGCAAGGAAGCCTGAGTCGGAAGTGACCTGGTGATAGCCGTGTTAAAGTAGATTAGCAGAAGTGGTAGGGTAAGTGTAGGCGAGCCGTGTGGTTCCGGTCCCGTGGTCAATTTCGAATACTGTGACTACTTTTGTGTCGTTTGAGGGCCTGGGGCGTATTCTCGGCGCCCTAGCTAGCAGCCCACAATGAGATCCGGATGCCTCATTGAAGCGAAGGCATGCTAGCAGTGCGGAGTCATCGCCAGGAGCGCCTGTGACTGCCGAGCCAATGCCATCCTTCGACCTTGGAGAGCTCTCCGACCATTCAGCTGAGGATGCCCTCAGTGGGTCGGAGAGTGCGAAATCAGCTTTCAAACCTGTCACCACCCGAGGCTCCCCTTCCCTTTTGGACCATCATGGTGGTGGTAATATCGTAAGTGCCGATTATCTCGTGACTGAATTTCGGACATGCATGAGTGCAATGATGGAGGAGAAGCTTGGTGTGGTTCTAACTTCTAAGTGGCGTTGATGATATTCGCCAAGAACTGAGAGCGGTTCGTGGTTCTTTGGATGCTCGACTAACCGCCCTGGAGAAAAAGATGAACTGTACCGAAAAGTCACACTTGAATGTACTAGATACGGTACGAGATTTGGAAGACAGCGTACGGGATCAAGAAGGGAGCATGGGTTTCCTGTCTGCCAAGTATGATGAAGCAGAGATACAAAGAAAAACCGAAACAGCAGTCGGGATGTGCAAAGGGCTGTAGTACGCTCACTGACGGATCGTATGGACAATGTGGTCAAAAGCACTGATCAAGCTTTGGCCACATTAACTGACGTTCTCGACAAAAGAGCGGCTGCTTTGGTATTTGAAGCTGCAGACATGAAGAAGATCTGCCAAGACCTGGATATACGAGTACAGGTCGTCGAAACCCCAAACCCGACCCCCAGTGAGACCGTTACCATGGTTACCGTGCGTACTTTGGCGAGTGCTGTAGCCGGCACGTCTCCCTCCACTCATGGTCCTAGAGTACGTGTCAAAGAAGCAGCCCCAGCTGTTGCGATTGAGGAGCATTTCGAGCGCTTCCAGAGGCAAAACAAGGCCGTACTGTACGGCCTGAAGGAGGAAACACCCCAGAACGTTCTGGAAGTGTGTAAATCCCTGATGTCTGAACCTGTTCGTGAGGCCGTAGTCTCAGCTGAGCGCCGGCGCCTGGGAGCGTCTCGCGAGTCATCATCCGATGGACCAGTACGCCATAGACCTGTCCTTGTCACGTTTGCCACGAAGGCAACGAAACTGACCTTTCTCAAAGGCCGTTTCAAGCTTCAATGCCGAAGCAAGCCAGTATTTGCCCACCATGACCTCACACCAGAACAACAACGACAACGTAAGAAGATGCTTCCAGTGTTTAAGGAACTCCGCTCCAAAGGGATCAAATGCATCATACCATTTGGTGATATCCTTGATGGCGATGGCAACCACATGACCAACCAGATCATTGCGCACCACATGACCAGCCAGGTCAATGCGCACCCCACACAGTCAGCAGCATAGGAATGTCTAGGGCTCCCCCACCAGACAGCTCCGAAAACAAGTAAGCAGCCAGTGGCACTTAGAATAGCCCACATTAACATAATATTATGTAGCATAAGAAATAAGATAACTGGTATCACCCACATCCTCTATCCACTCAACTCACCCAGTTTGATTGACATTCTTGCAGTTACGGAAACCTGGTTAGATACCAGTGTGGCTGACGCCCTCGTCCATGTACCAGGCTACACGTTATATCGACATGATAGAAAACTCAACAAAGGTGGAGGTGTCTGCTTTTTCGTGCGTGAAGCAGTAAGAGTACTGAGCTGCATTCCGAGTTCCAGTGTAGAAGCCCTATTCCTCAGAATTTCCACCAAGTGCAAATCTGGGGCTGGAGAAATGTGTATTGGATGTGTGTACCGACCACCAACAGCACCAGTTGCCTTCTGGGAGGATCTGGAACATACAGTTGATGTAGCAATTCATGGAATGAGTGCACAACTATTGCTTCTAGGCGCCTTCAATGTCGATGTTCTCCATTCATCGCAGCAGCCTCAATATCCACATCTTCAACGTCTTTGCGACAGTCTCTGCATTCGTAATGTCATTGCTGAACCAACACGAGTACCCAGCAACACCTGTATTGATCTCATCCTCGTTCCCTGTGATTTGCACAAGGATACTGCACTGAAGACCGTAACTGTGAAATCTCTTGATGGAGTCACAGGTCACTTCCTAGTCGGCATTGAGTTAGAGTTTGCACACGGCAATCCTTATAGCACCCTGCTTGGACATACAACTGCTCGCAAACCAAGTATCCGAAGTGTCTCAGCAAGTGTGTTCGGCCCTGCCGTTGAACACTCCATGACCTCTATCAATTGCACGGACATTTCGCTGGACGAGCTCACCGCCTTCTGGACAAGCACAGTTATGCACGCCATCAACAAATTCTGTCCTGTGCGCTCTGTCCCAGCTACCTCTCACCCTCGGCCTCCACCATAGTTTACGCCAGCTCTGACACAGCTGATTAGAAGGAAAGCCCATTTGCACAGAAACTGGCTCAAAGACCCTACAAATGAGTCTGCGCATCAAGCCTTCCGCGCAGCCCGCCGTGAGTATTCCCTTCTGAATCGTCGCCTGAAGCAAACCCACTTTGTTCAGCAGTTTGCTGCAAGTCGACATGATGTACGTGCTCAGTGGAAGATCATCAACCGTCTTCTTGGACGCCAGAAGCCATCTGGCACCCTTCCAGTGGACGTACCTGCTCTGACGTTAACATTTAAAGGCCAAGTCTGTGAAACATTTTCCACCCTTGCTCCAACATACCAGATCCCGAGTGGACCATGTAGTGAGTCGGCAGTTGTCACATTCCGACCCGTCACAGTGGGTGAGGTGCAGAAGCTCCTGGAAGGAGTTAATGTTTGCAAGGCAACTGGCTCAGATGGTGTACCAGCTGCTATCCTCAAAGCCAATCACCACTACCTCGCAGCAACCCTGAGAGATATCTTTAACTTAAAGAGTCGCTAACTACCGGAGTATTCCCCAGCCCTTACAAACTTGCTAATATCTGCCCTGTATATAAGACAGGAGACCGAAGTGATCCAACCAAGTAACGACCCATCTCACTCCTGACGATAGCCTCCAAGCTACTGGAGCGAATTGTATATGACCAGCTTCGCCAATATATCAGGACCCCTCATGCTACACCACTCATTCCCAATGAGCAATTCGCGTACCGTCAATCCCACTCATGTGGAGACGCACTGGCTATTTACATTGACAGTTGGCAACATTTTCTAGACACAGGAAATGTTGTAGCGGTGGCGATGTTGGACCTCAGTAAAGCTTTTGACCGTGGTCAGCATGACAAACTTCTCCTGGAGCCCCATGCGTGTGGTATAGGTGGTAAAGCCCTGGCCTGGCTCTGCAGCTACCTGTCTAGTCGTCAACAGCAAGTTGTATGTCGCCGCAACCCCCCCCCCCCCCCGGAAGAACAGTATCCTGCCAACCGTGGTGTCCCTCAGGGTTCTGTACTTGGTGTGCTTCTGTTTACCCTGTACACACGCTCTCTTCCAACATGCTTGGCTTACTCCACCAGCCAACTCTATGCCGGTGATACAAATCTCTATGTTGCAGACAAGACTGCTGGTGCAGCGATTGAAAAGCTTGAGAAAGACTTGCACTCAGTCAGCAAGTTTCTGCACTCCAGGGAACTCAAATTAAACCCGGCAAAGACTCAGTTTCTTGTCCTGCGGAAGCCCACCGTGCAGGCATCCCGTCAGTTGCGGTTCTGTGGCACTGTGGTCGAACAATCATCTTGTGCTAAGTATCTTGGCATCATTATTGATGAGCACTTGACATTCCGTCAGCAAGTTGATGCACTCCGAAAGGAGGTCAGTGCAAAAGTGAATGCATTTCGGCGCTGCAGCACCATGTTGACCAATGCAGCCAGACGCATAATTTATCTCTCTTTTGTCCAGTCTACACTGGAATATGCAAGCAATGCTTATGTACACAGTCTGCGCCAACATGAATAATTATGATTCTCTCACCCGCATCTCTCGCCGTTCATTGCGTACTGTATTTGGCTACCCACCCACCGCAGATGTCCAGTGTATTCTGTCTCGACACAACCTCACACCCATCACTATACGTTTCTCCCTTAAACTGTATCTTCTTGTATTCAGATGCGTTCATTCTTCTGCCAGCTCACTTCTATGCCGCCTTTTCTGCCTTCGTGCAAATTCTGAGGCACGTAGCCGCACCTGCACAAGGTCTCAAGTCTCGCTTGGCCTTGTGCTGCCACGAGCCTTCTCTCGATTTGGTTATTAATCTCTTTCTTATTTAGCTGCTGACCGCTGGAACTCAGTTCCGGCATCGGTCCGCCTTGCTGCTTCACCAAGTCAATTTCGTATCGCAATCCTAGATTGGCTAGGGTACCCCGTAAGGAGACCATAGGTCTGTGGAGACTGCCCTAGAGAAATATAAATAAATACGTATAGGATATTACCCAAGTACGAGGGTGTTACCTCCCGATTATCCCATGGTACGGTACTATAGGCCTGTTTCAGCCAATCAGGAGCCTTGCTGACCGGGAAATAATAGCCAATACAATCCCGCGCGGGATGATATTCATTATTAACTGGGTTCACTTTTACCGTACCTACTACGGTGCACCCTGCATTGGCATGCCCCCACCCCCTCTCGATTCGATGCAATGCATCTTGCCACTGGAGTCCTTTGGATCAGAACCCAGCGACAAAATGCACTACACAGAACCGTGAGAGGGTGAGCGCATGCCAATGCAGAGTGCACCGTCGGTACAGTAAAAGTGAACGGAGAGAACTTACCTCCGCGACTACGTCCAAAACCAGATTCCACACAAACAAACAACGAACTCCAATCACTATTCAACTCAACACTACGACACAAAGGAGACTTCGAA